TACTACAATAAGATGAAACATTTCCTAACGATAGAATTAATATAATTTATTATTATTATTAATTTAATAATATGGACTTAACCTTCTATTATAGACACAAAAATCGATTTTAATAGCATTTTTATGCAAGTCAACACTAATTTTTGGTAACTACTTGGAATAAGATTTAGAAGTTTTAAAACGTACACGAAATAATTAAATGCAAAATAAAATTCAAGAAATATTAATTATAAATATGTAAATGAAATACACTACAAGATCAATTGTGCACATATATATATCTAACCTAAAACATTGTATATGTTTAAGAATAAAAATAATCCAATAATGCTATAAACCATTAATGAAAATGTCAAATTTTAATTTGAAGCATTAAGATTTTGATTAATACAGCATAAGCAATATTTTAGTTAATATTGAATGTGTATAATTAAAAAAAATAAAACTATAACTATTGGTTCAACAAATACTTAAACTTATTGAACATTTTGAGATATTGATAAACCTTGTTTGTTTAAATAATGAAATTTATTACTAGATCATGTAACTTAATTACTTACAAAAGTTTTTTATATTATATTCATAAACACACCATTAAATAGATTCGATTACTTGAACTTAGTATTTATGTAATGTAGAAAAATCTTTCGTGTCACTCTTTAACATTAATGACATACTTAAGATATTTATGACTTCAAGAATTGAAGACATATACAGATATTTTTAAAATAATAATAAATTATTAATTTTTTATAATAATTACAAATAGTTAAATGTGATATAGATATTAAATGACAAGTTTGTCTAATTTAACCATAATTAATCTATAAGCCTATATTTTTTTTATAGGTCTTTATAACATTTATATGTTCTGTTATTCTTTAATATTATTCTTCAACATGCTATGTTTCCAATAACTTAAAAGGTCTATAAGATATACGCTTAAAAGTAATGACAAATTTCTTATCACACCTTATGCGATAAAGAGAAATAAAATCAAACGAAACTATTTTAACAAGTTACTTTATATATATATATATATATAACTTAAGTTCAAAAAGAAAATTACTAAATGACATTTCATGTATAATGACAACTTTATTGCATCTCACAAAACCTTGAGATAAGGTTATAGAAATTTTCTAAAGACATCTTTATCAACTAGTTTTACAATGTACCTATACTGAAATTATTGCTTAAAAAAGTAATTGAAAAATACTTGGGATATACCATCATGGTTATGAAAGAATAGAAAAAGCTAATGAAGCTTAGTAAGTTAAGAACTAAATATAGTGTTAATGATAAATATTACTTGATGTAATGTGTTATTTTTTTCTATATGTTTTTATCAAAATTTTGTTATTATTGACTCTTTCCCATTGTTTATAAAAGTTATTGTTTAACCATCAATAGAGAATTTTTGTTTTAGAATAAATTGTTATACTAAAAGAAAAGAAATATACTTTAATACATATAAATTTTTACATTTATTTGATATTATCTTTTCTTACTTTTAATTTTTTAAAACAATATATATAAAAATTTAATTTTTATAACCTTCTAATATGTGTCAAATAAATATAAATGTATATCACTCTATCATTGTTAAAAAAAATAAAAATTGATAAATTGTTTCACTTCCAAAAGAAACATTATTTATTTGGATTTTCATTGCAAAACTAAATATATATGGAAAGATTCATGAATCAATTAGTTACCTAAAAGCTTTACCAAACTCGTGGTATAGATTAATATCGGAAATAATGTTAATCTAATGATTAAAACCCTATCAATTTATGTTGGAGCAAATTGCATCAAATGAGGAAGTTTTTATGAAACAACAAGAGATTTGAATGACAAGGTCATAATACAATACGTGAATTTGATAAATCTATGTATGCCCTAAAAAATGATCTCAAAAAATCAATAACAAAGTGGAATGGATTTTGGACAAAAAAGGCTAAGTTGATCACACCATATTTGTAAGGAAATCTATAAAATGAACTCTTACAATCTATTTTGATGACATTGTCTTTATTCACACTACAAGTGGTGATCAGATCGGACAACCAGATTACTTTATTGGGATAAAAGGAAATTTTGACCTCCCAAAAATGTAAAGATTTGATTTTGTTAAAGAAATATGCAGATATGAAAGAAGTTCTATGGATAGAACATAAGTAAAATTAAAAGAGATTAAATTTTATCAGCGTCAATCTATTAAGTGATTAAATTTTCCCTTGGAAATTAAAAGAGAAGGTACATTATCTATCCTCTTTCCCTTCTCATCTTCCTTTCTTTATTAGGGTGAATCCCTGGTTTTCTTCTGTTGCAATTAATCCTGTTTGTGGGGTACAAAACACGTGAATAGTATAAGTATTTGTTTATTGTTAGCATTAAGTTTTATAAAAAAAGTAATGTTTGTTTGTGATTAATTTATTCAAGCAATAATAGGTGGGATTATTAGTAAGGGTTTAGTCTGTGATGAATTGATGTTTGAGAAAAGAGTGGTAAAAAAATGCAATTATTAGAGGGAATGAAAATGGAGTATTTAGAAGGAGGTTTTGAGATAGAGAAAAGGAAGTTTGAGTAAATGAAAAGGGAAAAACGGAAAAGGGAAAAAGCAAAGGTGTTCCACGTCAACCAAATTAATAGGCACTGTTCCCCACCGCATGGTCCATTGCAACTTTACCTTTGCTATCTTAACCAGACTTTGGTAACTTAACCATATCAGGCGGTCAATTCCTGACCTAACCTCACACTGTTCCCTTGTGGTCCCCCCAATCCCCCTAAACACACCTCATTCCCTTTTTCAATGACACTCAAATAAAAACTATAAAAGAAATCCTCTATTTATTATAATCATCATATAATTATAGTTCTTTTCACTCCCTCAGTATATATATAAATACATAGTTATATACATATATATCCACCTCTTCTCCTTCTATATATGAGTCTATTCCGGCATAGGTCTCTCTCTATATATATATATATGTAGAGGCTAAGCTAAACTAAACTAAACTAAACTAAACTAAACTAAATCCTTCTCTCTCTTTCTTTCACAGCAGTTGATCAAATTCAGAGCACAGCAGGTGTAGCAGGCATAAACCTTCGCTTCCACTCAGACATATATCCCTTATCACTCCAGTTAGTTATCTAACGGTTTTCTATTTTCTCACTTTCTTCCCACTTTACCCTTTTTTTCCTCGCTTATGCCATCCCATCACTAGCACACCGCACCATTTTATTCAATCAAAGCTAGAATGATAAGCTGGACCGATTTGTACACCGTCTTGACGGCGGTGATTCCCCTCTATGTCGCCATGATCTTAGCCTACGGTTCGGTACGCTGGTGGAAGATATTCTCGCCGGACCAATGCTCCGGCATAAATCGCTTCGTCGCGATCTTTGCGGTTCCCCTTCTTTCCTTCCACTTCATCTCCAGCAACAACCCTTACGCCATGAACTTCCGCTTCATCGCTGCCGACACGCTCCAGAAAATCATCATGCTCTTTGCTTTGGCAATCTGGACCAACTTCACCGCCAACGGCAGCTTGGAGTGGATGATTACCATTTTCTCCCTCTCTACATTGCCCAACACGCTGGTCATGGGTATCCCGCTCCTTATCGCCATGTACGGCGATTATTCCGGCCAGCTCATGGTCCAGGTGGTGGTGCTCCAGTGCATCATCTGGTACACCCTCCTCCTCTTCCTCTTCGAGTACCGTGGCGCCAAGCTCTTGATCATGGAACAGTTCCCCGAAACCGCTGCTTCCATAGTTTCCTTCAAGGTCGACTCCGACGTCGTTTCGCTCGACGGGAGAGATTTCCTCGAAACCGATGCTGAAGTCGGCGACGATGGGAAGCTCCACGTCACCGTTAGGAAGTCCAATGCTTCTAGAAGATCCTTCATGATGACACCTCGCCCGTCTAACCTCACCGGTGCCGAGATTTACAGCCTCAGCTCCTCCCGTAACCCCACGCCACGTGGCTCCAACTTCAACCACGCGGATTTCTACTCCATGATGGGGTACGCTCCTAGGCATTCTAACTTCGGCGCTGCGGATTTGTACTCCGTGCAGTCCACGTCACGCGGAGTCACGCCGAGGCCCTCCAATTTCGAAGAGAACTCTGCACCCGCACCGCAGGCTATCAGCTCCCCAAGGTTCGGCTTCTACCCCGCCGTGCAGACCGTGCCCTCTGCCTACCCTGCTCCCAACCCGGAATTCTCTTCTGGGTTAACGAAGAGTGTGAGCAAGAATTCGCAGACGCAGCCACAGCCTCAGTCTCAGCCGCAGGCTCCAGCTCAAGCTCCTCAAGTTGCTCAACCGCCCAACAGTAGTAGCAAAGCCAGCCACGACGCTAAGGAGCTCCACATGTTCGTGTGGAGCTCCAGCGCCTCACCGGTTTCTGAAGCCGGTGGCCTCCATGTATTCAGTGGAGCCGATTTCGGAGCTTCCGACCAATCGGGCCGCTCCGATCAAGGTGCCAAGGAGATTAGGATGTTAGTAGCGGACGAACACCCTCAAAATGGAGAAGCTAACAAAGGTAGTACCACTAGATTCTTTCTTTTTTTTTCCTCTCCTCGACTTAAATTCACTTAGCTTTAAAACTAGTTTCCACTCAATTTTCTAATGAAGTTGAATTCTTCAATCAAAGTTTAAATTTGTGGTTGAACAAGAGAACTTAGTACTTTTGCAACTTAATTTAGGCTTTGTTTTGAGGAACTGATTTAATTTGGGTGATTGCGGGTTGGAAATGAAGCTACTGCAGAAGGAGAATTTAGGGGTGAAGATTTGAAGTTTCCAGGGAAAGAAGGTGAACAGGTGGAGGAAGAAGCAGAGAAAGCGGGCGCCGCCGGGCCCAACAAGCTGGGTTCCAGTTCAACGGCGGAGCTACACCCGAAATCGGGCGTAGGCGTGGCGGGGAAACACATGCCTCCGGCGAGTGTGATGACTCGTCTGATACTGATTATGGTGTGGCGGAAGCTTATCCGCAACCCCAACACTTACTCTAGCCTCATTGGTGTGATCTGGTCTCTGGTGGCGTTTAGGTAAGTAAATTTCAAAGTCAATCTGGAACAACGACGATGAATTTTTGTCATGGTTTTGACTTTTAGGGTTTAGCTATTATTATTACTGTAGGATGGTTATTTTGTGTTGACGTAACTGTGATATATGATTACTAATTAATTAATTGCAGGTGGCATGTGCACATGCCCAAAATAATAGAGAAATCAATCTCCATACTGTCTGATGCTGGTCTTGGAATGGCTATGTTCAGCTTGGGTGAGTGGCCGTGATAATTTGTCCAAATTCTTGCTCTTCCAATAATTTCATTCCCCTATATTTGCAATTCCTTTCCTCTTTGGCGAAAACATCGTTATTCATGATGGCTCCCTTTTCCGATGTTTAAACGTACATTGACGAGAGTAACTGATGATGTTCATGTGATTGTATCTAAATAACTTTGTTGGTTCATTTCTTGGAGTTTCAACAATGCTACTAAAAATAATTGTTTGTGGAAATATGAAATGAGAATGTTGATTGAATGCGATGGTAAGGTGAGTGTGATGAATGCGTGAAAAGTATGGATTTGGGGTAGAGCAAGTAATAAGCATAAACAAAGTAATGGGCGTCCATTGAAATGAAGTTTGTTACCACATAACACAAGCAGATGATGTTGTTCACTAGACGATAATATGGGGATTGCATAGTGATAGTGCAATGTCCCCGACATGTGGGGTCTGGTCTTGAACAACGTCTCTATGCGGTCCAGGGCGGTGGTGGGGACCTGTACCATTTTTGGACCCGGATTAGGCAAAGGTAGTTGATTTAGACGAATCAAGCGGTACTAAAAATATCTTTTCATTCACAAAACTTAAAAGCATTTTCCCATCATGCCCTGACTGTAAATTTTGGCTCCCTTTTTCCTTCTCTTCTCTTTTCATTTTCACCTTTTTACCCTTTCGGCCAATAAAATTATTGACGACTAACCTATTTCGGTTTTTGCGCTTCTAGGTCTCTTCATGGCTCTTCAACCCAATATAATTGCTTGTGGGAACTCAGTTGCAACATTTGCCATGGCTGTTCGATTCCTCACAGGTCCCGCCGTCATGGCTGCAGCTTCCATCGCTGTTGGCCTACGTGGCACTCTCTTACGTTTAGCTATTGTTCAGGTAATTAACCTTGACCTATAATCCTATTTGATAGATATCACACTGTTAATCTTACTTGCGTGTGCAAATTTCTTTGATATCTTTGAATGTAACAGAGGAAGTGATAGATTTTCAATAGTTAGGACCCTTTGGCACTGTACATTCTAGGAGAGAAGAACCCAATAAAAAATCATTAAATAGACTCTTTCCATTTGACTAATTATAACTTTTACTAAATTTAGTTACTTGTAAAATATATTTTAGTGAAAACATGTTTTATAGCATCTTATATATTATATGAAATTTTAATGGACTTTTCTAGTTCAATTTTGGCTATCATGTTAAGCATGATTTGAAGAAAAAGCCCTGGAAAGCTAACTAGCTGAATATGCAATTATTGTTCGTAGGCTGCACTTCCGCAAGGGATTGTTCCATTTGTGTTTGCCAAGGAATACAACGTTCATCCAGCCATTCTCAGCACAGGGTAAGTAACTGAAGTTTCTCATTTTATTTTGATTTTTGTTCTTTTTGTTAAGAAAGAAGTTAACATTTTTTCGTGAAATTTGCAAACTTAATTGCAGGGTTATATTTGGGATGCTGATAGCTCTACCAATTACTCTAGTCTACTACATATTACTTGGTTTGTAAAATATGTATGCAGTAGTAGTCAGCACACCAGGACAGAATGAATGACCCTTTTGAACCTTTTTATACTTTGGGAGTTAGCATGCATGCCTGGTGACCACAGTGGATTACGCTGTTATTAACGAAGATGTGGATCTTCTGAGCTGGGAGAACAAAAGCCACAAACTAAACTAGTATTCTTAAAGCAGAGGAGATCCTCGAGAGTTTCCAAAATTTTTGGAATTTCTGAAAAAATTGACCAATTGGCCCAAATCCTCATAATTCTAATCCCCTATCAAAAGTCCAAAATAGACGCAGTTTTCAAAAGCAGAGAGAGAGGAACAAGTACAGCTTATGGGAGACATAGCAGAGGAAAACAGGGGAAAGCTCGCATGAGCAGAGTCAATGAAATCTAAAAATGGTTCCCTCCGTATCTGCATTGTAAATTTTATTAGAGTCATGTTTGTGTCATCAAGTAACAAAGACAGCTGAGCAATTGGGTAGGGGAAATGAAAATGGAATATAAGCTGAAGATTGGTTTCTTTAGTTTTGTTTAGTCATTTGTTTACTTCGATTTTTATTATTATATAATGGGTTTGTTTAAGTTTTGTTTTTGTCTTTGATCAACCGCGGATCCCGCAATTATTTGCGTTTGTCGTCTTTCTTTGGTCACGTTATTTGTTTAGTATATTTGTATATGATGAAGTAAAAAGAGCAAAAAGTGATAATAGCTATTTTTCTGGTTTAAAGAGAGGCAGATCTGGAAATGAAGATGGGACCATGAGACTGAGAGTTGAACTTTCAGAATATAGTCTTTCCACTGAGTGGGATTATGTACTTCTCCTGTGAAGTTGAGTGATGGGTGATGGAAGGAAAAACTATTTTTTTAGAATTAAAAATGAAATAAAGAAGAGAAGGAGCAGGGTTAAGAGCACAAAACTTTTATTTGTGCTTTTTGAGTAGTGATGTACCCACAACCCTAACTAGCTAGTAACTCATAGTCAATAACACCTTTATCAGGAGTTGAGCTAGCGTGAGAGTGGAGGTGGGTTGGTCAGCACTCAACTTTTTTACCAGGAAAACGATGGTACTTCAAACTCATCATCCCCTACGGCTCCTTCAATTATATTCATATGGTGACAGTTGTAAGGAAAAAATAAATCAAAAAAACAAAAACGTGGTTATCTCAAACCATTCATGGCCCATGAAAAGGAGACTAGGCGTCTATTAGCTCTATAACGAGAGGGTCTTTTTTTGTGAACATCAAGTCATCAAGACCTTGCAATTTTCTGCGTCTATTGTAGTTTTTTTAGCATACTATAGCTACCTAAAAGTTTAAGCCGAAAGTTTTTTATTAACAGGAAGATCACATAACTATTTACGTTGGTTCATATTTTTAAGTTTTTTTTTTCAGGCCAGTTTTGTAATATGATTTTATGCATTTAGAAAGAAAAAAAGTTTGTTGGAAATCTATTTATGAAGATTCGTCCTGTGAACCAAAATGACGTCACACATATCGCATATCTTGTTCAAGATATTCAACTTGAACATCAATAGTATCAAATTTGTCACTCATGTTTAGTTCCAATTGTTTAAATCTAGCNCAATCGGGCCGCTCCGATCAAGGTGCCAAGGAGATTAGGATGTTAGTAGCGGACGAACACCCTCAAAATGGAGAAGCTAACAAAGGTAGTACCACTAGATTCTTTCTTTTTTTTTCCTCTCCTCGACTTAAATTCACTTAGCTTTAAAACTAGTTTCCACTCAATTTTCTAATGAAGTTGAATTCTTCAATCAAAGTTTAAATTTGTGGTTGAACAAGAGAACTTAGTACTTTTGCAACTTAATTTAGGCTTTGTTTTGAGGAACTGATTTAATTTGGGTGATTGCGGGTTGGAAATGAAGCTACGGCAGAAGGAGAATTTAGGGGTGAAGATTTGAAGTTTCCAGGGAAAGAAGGTGAACAGGCGGAGGAAGAAGCAGAGAAAGCGGGCGCCGCCGGGCCCAACAAGCTGGGTTCCAGTTCAACGGCGGAGCTACACCCGAAATCGGGCGTAGGCGTGGCGGGGAAACACATGCCTCCGGCGAGTGTGATGACTCGTCTGATACTGATTATGGTGTGGCGGAAGCTTATCCGCAACCCCAACACTTACTCTAGCCTCATTGGTGTGATCTGGTCTCTGGTGGCGTTTAGGTAAGTAAATTTCAAAGTCAATCTGGAACAACGACGATGAATTTTTGTCATGGTTTTGACTTTTAGGGTTTAGCTATTATTATTACTGTAGGATGGTTATTTTGTGTTGACGTAACTGTGATATATGATTACTAATTAATTAATTGCAGGTGGCATGTGCACATGCCCAAAATAATAGAGAAATCAATCTCCATACTGTCTGATGCTGGTCTTGGAATGGCTATGTTCAGCTTGGGTGAGTGGCCGTGATAATTTGTCCAAATTCTTGCTCTTCCAATAATTTCATTCCCCTATATTTGCAATTCCTTTCCTCTTTGGCGAAAACATCGGTATTCATGATGGCTCCCTTTTCCGATGTTTAAACGTACATTGACGAGAGTAACTGATGATGTTCATGTGATTGTATCTAAATAACTTTGTTGGTTCATTTCTTGGAGTTTCAACAATGCTACTAAAAATAATTGTTTGTGGAAATATGAAATGAGAATGTTGATTGAATGCGATGGTAAGGTGAGTGTGATGAATGCGTGAAAAGTATGGATTTGGGGTAGAGCAAGTAATAAGCATAAACAAAGTAATGGGCGTCCATTGAAATGAAGTTTGTTACCACATAACACAAGCAGATGATGTTGTTCACTAGACGATAATATGGGGATTGCATAGTGATAGTGCAATGTCCCCGACATGTGGGGTCTGGTCTTGAACAACGTCTCTATGCGGTCCAGGGCGGTGGTGGGGACCTGTACCATTTTTGGACCCGGATTAGGCAAAGGTAGTTGATTTAGACGAATCAAGCGGTACTAAAAATATCTTTTCATTCACAAAACTTAAAAGCATTTTCCCATCATGCCCTGACTGTAAATTTTGGCTCCCTTTTTCCTTCTCTTCTCTTTTCATTTTCACCTTTTTACCCTTTCGGCCAATAAAATTATTGACGACTAACCTATTTCGGTTTTTGCGCTTCTAGGTCTCTTCATGGCTCTTCAACCCAATATAATTGCGTGTGGGAACTCAGTTGCAACATTTGCCATGGCTGTTCGATTCCTCACAGGTCCCGCCGTCATGGCTGCAGCTTCCATCGCTGTTGGCCTACGTGGCACTCTCTTACGTATAGCTATTGTTCAGGTAATTAACCTTGACCTATAATCCTATTTGATAGATATCACACTGTTAATCTTACTTGCGTGTGCAAATTTCTTTGATATCTTTGAATGCAACAGAGGAAGTGATAGATTTTCAATAGTTAGGACCCTTTGGCACTGTACATTCTAGGAGAGAAGAACCCAATAAAAAATCATTAAATAGACTCTTTCCATTTGACTAATTATAACTTTTACTAAATTTAGTTACTAGTAAAATATATTTTAGTGAAAACATGTTTTATAGCATCTTATATATTATATGAAATTTTAATGGACTTTTCTAGTTCAATTTTGGCTATCATGTTAAGCATGATTTGAAGAAAAAGCCCTGGAAAGCTAACTAGCTGAATATGCAATTATTGTTCGTAGGCTGCACTTCCGCAAGGGATTGTTCCATTTGTGTTTGCCAAGGAATACAACGTTCATCCAGCCATTCTCAGCACAGGGTAAGTAACTGAAGTTTCTCATTTTATTTTGATTTTTGTTCTTTTTGTTAAGAAAGAAGTTAACATTTTTTCGTGAAATTTGCAAACTTAATTGCAGGGTTATATTTGGGATGCTGATAGCTCTACCAATTACTCTAGTCTACTACATATTACTTGGTTTGTAAAATATGTATGCAGTAGTAGTCAGCACACCAGGACAGAATGAATGACCCTTTTGAACCTTTTTATACTTTGGGAGTTAGCATGCATGCCTGGTGACCACAGTGGATTACGCTGTTATTAACGAAGATGTGGATCTTCTGAGCTGGGAGAACAAAAGCCACAAACTAAACTAGTATTCTTAAAGCAGAGGAGATCCTCGAGAGTTTCCAAAATTTTTGGAATTTCTGAAAAAATTGACCAATTGGCCCAAATCCTCATAATTCTAATCCCCTATCAAAAGTCCAAAATAGACGCAGTTTTCAAAAGCAGAGAGAGAGGAACAAGTACAGCTTATGGGAGACATAGCAGAGGAAAACAGGGGAAAGCTCGCATGAGCAGAGTCAATGAAATCTAAAAATGGTTCCCTCCGTATCTGCATTGTAAATTTTATTAGAGTCATGTTTGTGTCATCAAGTAACAAAGACAGCTGAGCAATTGGGTAGGGGAAATGAAAATGGAATATAAGCTGAAGATTGGTTTCTTTAGTTTTGTTTAGTCATTTGTTTACTTCGATTTTTATTATTATATAATGGGTTTGTTTAAGTTTTGTTTTTGTCTTTGATCAACCGCGGATCCCGCAATTATTTGCGTTTGTCGTCTTTCTTTGGTCACGTTATTTGTTTAGTATATTTGTATATGATGAAGTAAAAAGAGCAAAAAGTGATAATAGCTATTTTTCTGGTTTAAAGAGAGGCAGATCTGGAAATGAAGATGGGACCATGAGACTGAGAGTTGAACTTTCAGAATATAGTCTTTCCACTGAGTGGGATTATGTACTTCTCCTGTGAAGTTGAGTGATGGGTGATGGAAGGAAAAACTATTTTTTTAGAATTAAAAATGAAATAAAGAAGAGAAGGAGCAGGGTTAAGAGCACAAAACTTTTATTTGTGCTTTTTGAGTAGTGATGTACCCACAACCCTAACTAGCTAGTAACTCATAGTCAATAACACCTTTATCAGGAGTTGAGCTAGCGTGAGAGTGGAGGTGGGTTGGTCAGCACTCAACTTTTTTACCAGGAAAACGATGGTACTTCAAACTCATCATCCCCTACGGCTCCTTCAATTATATTCATATGGTGACAGTTGTAAGGAAAAAATAAAACAAAAAAACAAAAACGTGGTTATCTCAAACCATTCATGGCCCATGAAAAGGAGACTAGGCGTCTATTAGCTCTATAACGAGAGGGTCTTTTTTTGTGAACATCAAGTCATCAAGACCTTGCAATTTTCTGCGTCTACTGTAGTTTTTTTAGCATACTATAGCTACCTAAAAGTTTAAGCCGAAAGTTTTTTATTAACAGGAAGATCACATAACTATTTACGTTGGTTCATATTTTTAAGTTTTTTTTTTCAGGCCAGTTTTGTAATATGATTTTATGCATTTAGAAAGAAAAAAAGTTTGTTGGAAATCTATTTATGAAGATTCGTCCTGTGAACCAAAATGACGTCACACATATCGCATATCTTGTTCAAGATATTCAACTTGAACATCAATAGTATCAAATTTGTCACTCATGTTTAGTTCCAATTGTTTAAATCTAGCATTCATATTGTTGAAGTTGTCGCTAACAAATGTTCGCAGATCATTGATCCTCCTCATCATGTCATAGTGAAGAAGTATCTTGTTAAGGGGGAGGTGGTTGGTGCTGAGAATGTTCAGCACATTGGCGTTGAGCAAGAGCAGTAGCATATTTGTGAACCCATTCATTGTCAAGGGTTTTTCTATGCCGCAATTGTGAACTTTCTTTCCTCTAGGACAAGTATTTCATCATCTAGTGGAATTTGAAAATGTTGCATGATTCAATGACAAAAAATGCATAGCATAAAGGAGCCCCTGGCCTCAAAGCCTTCTTCATCCTATATCAGATGAGATGACCCCAGTTGATCTGTTTTGTTGTTATTATAATCCATATTAAAAGTAAATATTTCTCGATAGCTTGTGCAACATTAGACACATGAGAAAGCAAAATACGACATATAACATAATGTAATATTCTAGCCTCGATTATCATAGAGTCGGCTAGTATTCTACCAGTAAGGGATTTATTGGGCATAAAGATCATTTGTCTGGCTTCTAGGACACTATATTGTTATGCCCATTGCTCAAGTAAATTACTCTCAAAATTCAAGCCGACAGATGAAAGGTTGGCAATGAAAGCTAATAGGTTAGGTTTGATTATCATTTTTACATTTTTCACCTCAGTCTTAATGGTTTCATTGTCAGATATTTTGAGGTTGCTATAAAAAACACTTACTAAATTAGGGTAGAATATGAGTAATCATAGAAAAAATCATCCAAACCTAGATTTGTCAACATGTGGTAAAATTAAAAAATTTTGTCATTAAAATATTCTTCATCTAGGTGTTTTGGCTCAATAACTTCACGGTCACAGAAAAGTGAGAAATACCTCTCTGATTGTACAGGGGTGGAAAACAAAAGATTTGGGCCTGGTTGATCCGGTGATAGTGGTGGTGAGGGTGAGGGCGAGCTTTCAATCAATGAGGGTTCATATCGACGACGTCCTGCACCTGAAGAAGATAAGCCCCTAACCCTTTGCCTCTTTGAAGAATCAGTCATTTGAAGAAATTTAAATCGGTGGAAATTGAAGAGAAATGAAAGAAGAATGGGAAAATGTTGATTAGAAGTGAAAGGAGTATAAAAAAGGTGTTTTTTTAGGTTGGGAAGGTGCTCTAATGGAGGAGAGGCGCTGTGTAGGGAGGAAAAAGTGAGGGTCTGCGAGAAGAGAGATAAAAAAAGTTGTATTTATATAGGTCTAGGGTTTCTAGTAATCGATTACAGGACTTCTGTAATTGATTATCAAAGAGTTTTTCTGTATTAAAACATGTGGTAACCAATTACACAACACTTGTAATTGATTACTATAGTATTTGTGTATTAACACACGTGGCAAAAGCAATGTGATCAATTACCAGAGAGTTTTTATGGATTAAAACATGTGGTAATTGATTACACAATACATGTAATCTATTACTGGAGACTTTAGGCTATAAAATACATATTTGTGTTATTTTTGTTTTAATTTAAATGATTGTAAAATATAATTTATTTATATGAATGTTATTTCGGTATAATCCATAATAGAAATTAGATTTTTTATATAAAAATACTATTTTGATAATTTCCATTTAAATTGAAATTTATTATTTATATGTAAAATAATAAAAATAAATAATAGAACTCACTTAATATGAAATATATAATTCGGGAACTTTATTTGAAATATAACAATTTAAACATAACATAAAAAAGTCACATTACAACAATTATTGAAGTCTTAAAAGAGTCTTAATCATTACAAATGACATAAAAGTTAATATATCCATTTATTTCTTCTTTGTCCGTGTTCGTCTATGTAAGTCCAATCTTTGAGATCCTCATAGTGTTCAGCTTGAGTTGGAGGACAAATATCTCTCTGATTTGGACAAAAAGTTCAATATATTCCCAAGTGTTTGGACGTAACACATATATGTCAATAGTTTGTGTTTTTTTCCACCTTGCAATCTTATGTGCAATATCATTATCACATTTTACTGAGCTTTATCATGAATGAGGTGGTTATTACATACTTTTACTGGATGACAATAATCAATATGTGTGACAACTTTTCGGTCACCACATTGGACAATTTCACCGATTTAATTTAGGAGTTCATTGAATATAGAATTGTGATTGATTGAGTTGTTGGCTGCCCAATCTTATCGAAATTCGAGTCTGTACCCAGATTGATTTTCTATTATTCATGCGCCTTTTAGAGGACCTCTGAAATTATTTATTATCGGTGATTTTGGAATATCAGTTTTGCATGTGGTAGTTGAAGATGATGCTTTTGTTGGGTTCATAAGAACCATGATTTGTTTTGTATATCTTACCCACATAACATACAATTTTATAAATGTGTTAATGGGGAAGTGAGACTTACATGTAATCATTTGTAAGACATCTTCGTCTGATCGTGGTTTAACAGCTTCATATGTGATTGTTTCATCAATACTAATTGTGGGTCACCGGAAGTACAACTTATTGATGATTGTATTAGTTGGTTTGTCAGAAGCTATGCAAACTTTTTGCTTAAATAGCTTGAACGTGCAATTGTAAGGAAGGCTAAACAATTTTGGATGCTGACATACAAATTCGATCCCATGGTCACCATTTTTTATTTCCCCATCTTGAAATAAGGCAACAAGGTAAGAATTATATAGGTTTTTTGTGTCGGTGATGCCAAAGACTTCATTATCGTAGTTTTTCATCTTGTGTTGGGGATGAGGTGTGGAATGACTTGAAAAGTAATTAAAGTTTAGAAGATTATTACAAATTGAAAGCTTGGTTCTTTAAAGAAAGGAAAATAATAATTAAAACTTCTGTGAACATTAGATGAAAGTATTTAAAGTTTAGAACATGATTACAACTTGAAAGTTTGGTTCTTCAAAGAAATGGAAAATAATAATTAAAACTAATGTGAATATTGGATAATATCTCCAACTCTATCACTTTTGTGCATCATCACCGTACCTTCACCTACTTTCGTGAAATACATTATCACAGCCGAAATAAACACAAACACACTAAACAAAGAGTGAGCTAACATAGAATTAAACATAATAGATTAATACACCTTGATAAATAATTTACATGTACCTTACTTAAATCTATCAATACAGAACTCAAATCTTGTTGATTCGTATAAATGTCAATTACTTACTCACACAGAACCAAATGTCCACTCACATAAAGTCATGCACCAACTCACAAAGCCAAGCAACTACTCACATATACCCATAAATCTTCTCTCAAGAAGTCATGCACTTTCTCTTAGGAAGCCATGCACTTGCTCAAGCAAAGTCAATCAACTACGTACATAGAGCCAAATATTGTACCATTCACATAGAGCCAAACATCGTCAATGTTCACACAAAGCCACGAATATGCTGATTTAGAGCCATGCACCTACTCATAGAGCCAAATATTGACTACTCATACAAAGCCAATCATCATCACTACTTTTGCAGGTCCAAACATCATCACTACTCACATAAACCCAAGCATCAAATCATTCAACTTATTCTTTTTCCTATTAGATGATCCATCTATCCTTTAATATTCATGAAAACCTTTCAAAAGTACATTCCTTTTAGTATAAATACCACATGTTATATGAACTTAACCCTTCGATAGAAACCTTGCACTAAGCTTGACCAAGGATTTGAATTCATGTAGTAAATACTATCATCTGATGCCCTCAAAAGAGGTGTTGCATTAGTTCATAAAGTGTATGGGTAACCTCACCTAATAAATATATAGTTTAATGGAAACATCGTCTGATGGACACAATGTTTGATGGGCATATCATCTAATGAAATTTGACAAACATTGAGTGTATCAATTTTGTACACTTGGTTTTTCTTTCATTGCTTCCCTTTTGAAACTTTTTTCAAAAATGTTAAACAATTAAATTCAAAAGGTTTTCTTTTATCTAA